GAAAGTCAGGCCCTTTGTTGAAGCCATGTTGAGGCATTGTTTAGGATAGAATACCGTGACTTGCTGTAGGTTGCTGTCACTCCTCCATTTGTTGTAGATGTCTTAACCTATCAGTTGTAATTTCGTGTGCTTTTACTTCAATGACCTGGACCACAATGTGGTACCTAACCTAAAAATATTTTGACTATCAAGTGATGATCGGTGACCTTTAGTGGATTCTCTGATTAAAAACTGTACTTTAGTGGTCAACAAAACATTTATGAGGAAACTCACTTTTTCAATGAGTCACAGTCACAATTTCTAGGTCACAGACACCCATCTGGACTCATCTCATCCCACCCACGACCGCCGCCGCGACCATCCCCACAGCCACAGCCATTGTGCACAACCAACAACAAAATCGCCATCTCATCACCTTCAACACTACGCCCATTACACAGCGTCAAAACCCATAGACAAAGCAACCCGCCACATACAAACCACCGAATACAAACATCGACCCTCGACAGCATCATCCCCTAATTAGCCAGCACCCTTCAATAAACCACAAATCTGACCCACAAACAGCTTCCGCCCACCACTACACAACCTGCCTCACACACCAAAAAAATAAAATAAAATTCCAGTAACCGATAGCAGTAGAAGACGAAGAAAAATCAGCTTCTACTCCATCCACTGCCCTAACAAGTCGAGTTGGCTTACCTGCCCATATTTTTATTTGATAACTAAATAATTGAGTTTCTTAACGGATTTAGATATTGTTTTGCGTCAATTTCTCTTGTTATTATCCGTTCCTTTCTGATCAGTACTATAAGTTTGGTCCGTAGTGGTGAAGGAGACTAACGCTGACACATGGTAGAGATCAAGAGCATCGGGGTGGTGGGGGACGGGTAAATGGGCTCCGGCATCGCACAACTCTCCGCCGCGAACGGGCTTGATGTCACCCTTCACGACTCTGACTCCACAGCTCTCAATAACGCGCTGAAATCAATCTCGACAACATTCAACGTCTCATTTCCAGAGGCCATTTGTCAGTGGTGGTGGGAGGATGAGGGAGAAGGGGAGAAGGCGGTAAGCGGTGGTGGTGGGAGGATGGAGAGAAATGGAGTAGGCGGCATTGTGGAGAGAGGTGAGAGAGTGGAGAGAAATGGATAGATTTAAGGTTTGGATATATTAAAATGATAAAAACCTGAAAAGTGGAAAAATAAAGTGAAAACCCGATTTTTTAAAACGTGAAACTAAAGACCTGGTTTAAGGTAATTTTCCCGTATTGGAACGTTTGTAAACATAAGACTTCAGGCGATTCAGGTTAACCCGATCCACAATTAAAAAATTGACCCAACGCAATTCACCTAACCCCTTTACTTTTCGCAATGTTTATTAAACGTTGCGAAATATCAAATTTTTGCAGCATTTATTAAACACTGCAAAAGGAACTTTTTTCAACGTTTATTAAACGTTGCAAAAAGTTGATCTTCTGCAACATTTAATAAACGTTGCAAACGAAATGCACTTTTTGCAACGTTTATTTATAAAACGTTGCTAAACCTCAATTATATTAACCAGTAACAACATTCACTTATTAAAATGTT